AAACCATTCTTGAAAGCAATACAGATTAACCTGTGTATCTTGCCAAAAAAGAGAAAAAGGAATAGAAACAACATTACATGTTCTGCAAGTGGTAAACTCAGTGATATGATATGGGCTCAATTACATGATTTCAACAGAGGCTTCAGATGGAGTTAAACTTCAGTGCCCTTCGTGTAAAGCTTCGGGTGAGGTGATCTATCAGTTCAAGCAGTGGTAGTGCTGGATTTTGGACTCTAGGCAGGGAAACATTAATGGTTGTGCCCAGAACCCACCAATAGAAGTGCCTGGACTGCTATTAAGGCCAGGCTTTTTAAAACCTAAACTAACAGGGAAGAAGGGTTGAATGGTTAATTTTCATTAAAACCAAACTGGCAAGAAGCTAAGGGCCTCAGCAAGAACAAAAGACAGAGATCGGTAAAAGGTGATCTTAAAAATTGATTGCTTTGCCCTCTTTTCTCCTGTACTTGCCTCCTAGATCAGCAGAGTGAGGGATGGTGCTAAAGACATATTTTGGCAGGAGTTGAATGAACAAAGCTGAGAGTAACTACAGATAGTAAAAAATTGCTGAATTAGGATCAGACCTGGAGGTATCTCGGAGGAAGTCTGAAATAATTAATTGTAAACAGTGTGGCTGAGATGGGAAGTTACAGGTAGCACAGGGCTGGAGCTGGCTGGGAGAAGAGCTTTTCAAGCCGTGCATGAGCCTGTGTGCTGGGCCGCTGCCCTCCGCTGCCTGCAACCTCCTAACAGCAAAAACATCCCCCTTCTTGTCCCAGATCTGGCTGAGGTGGCCTTCAGGTGGCATTGGTTAATGCAATAATGTTGTTATTGTGCTGTGGTTTATTTTATTCTTGTTTAAAGCACCAGACCTGTTCTGGCTTAGAAATTCTGAATGCTGTTTTGTACAAAATCTCTCTTTAATGAACAGTTCAGAAAACATAAAGAGGTACATGCATGAATGCTTGTAGATGTTCTTAAACTCAGCCTGAACTTCGAGACTTCTGTGATAAAGATGTAGCTGATCAGGTTGTTTAAAGGACACCTTCAATCTTAATGAGAAGTCTTTCAATAGGATTTTTGTACATGCGTTTGTTCAAGAACTTGTTAGGTAGTCAGACTGGTTTCCTTCAGCCTCTAAATTTTCAACTGTGAAAACACACTGATTAATTAAATTGACAAAATCTCTGCTAATCTCAGGTTCTCCAGATTCTGCATGTGTATTCAACTGTTGTTTTCAGAACAAAGTTTGAAGACATAGCAACTCTAGGCAAAAACCCAGCTTCTCACTTCATGCACTTGTCTTAATCACCATTTCCAAACACCAGTGGTACTACTTATAGGCTTTAAAGAACAAAAGGTTTTGTAAATGGTGCATGCTACCACAAAACCAACAAGAGAGTTCCTTAGAGGTGATTTTCGTCATTGGTCTTTCATTTGGAATTTGAAATCCTTAGTTTAGAGCTGCAACAGCATTAATCTGAAGGGTGATTGCAGATTATGACACCTTTGGGTTAATAGCTCTTGATGTCATCATCATTTTGTTTAACCCTGAGGACATGAGCTACCCCTTATGTTACTTTCTCTTTGGAGGTGTTTCACAGTGGTAAGAGCAACTAGGTCAGAGAGCAAGAAATAACTTGGAGCACTAGTAAGGACTCCAAGTAGTCCTATTCAGTGAGTCTGCTTTAGTTTTGTCCTGTTTGGGAAATGCTGTCTTGCCTGGCAGAGGGAAGGCAGTCCCATCCAGTGTCTTCGCCAGCAGCCGTCTTTTAGAGTATATATGCATCAAGCAACAATACTGTGGCTAGCTCTATGCAAAATTGTTCGCAAATGCCCAACTTTCTCAATCATCACACACATCCTTCAGAGGAACCACGCCCAAATGCTGTACAGTGAGGGTCTAGTACAGTCGTGAGGGCTGCCGCTTATGGCTGTATCTTCCCAGGATAAAGAAGATACGTTATTGCTGAGCTGTGTCTCTTAATGACTGCCAGTCAAATGCTATTCAGTGAGCTGCAAGGAAGGACTGTTTCATCTGGTACTGTGCAGATGTTAAATCCCAGACTGTTTGTATCGGTCTATTGGGGTGACTCTTGCAAGGCAGTGCAGCTGACCTAAGACTGGGGAAGCAGAAGGAAGACAGAGGGACTGCTTGCAAGGAGCAGGGGATCTTCTCTTCTCCCTGTACCTGAGGGCCCTGCTTCTCCAGGGGAGGACAGCTGACAGCTCAGGAGTCTCAGGAAGGAGCACAGCCAGCTTCCTGCCTGCTCTTGTTTTTGGCGAGTGAAGGGCCTTGCTCAGTGGGTGATGCCTCCCTGCACTTTTGTGGGCTTCTGCTCCCCTCTAATGGCCAAAGAACTGAGAGGCCCTTTGCTGGACACCATGGTGTTGCAGGGTCTGGTGCCGGAGGGTGCCCTCGGCTAGCAGACCTGTGAGGCACCGAGCTGACTTCAGCTCCAGGCAGGCTCACAGTTACCCAGCACTGCACCGGGGATAGGGACGGAGTCTCCCCAGCTCTTCCTGCAGCTCCAGTTGCTGGGGTTTATCCTTCTTGTTTTCTGTTCCAGCTCCTGAGAAATGCACCTCTGTCGTGGTGGCTGGGAGGAGGGGTTACAGCTAAACTTGGGAAAGAGAGGCAATGAAGGCAAATTGGTAAATCTGCACAGATCTGAGAGTCTTCCCTGAGTCAGCGCCTCCTCCTGCCTACACCACTAACCGAAGGTCTCTACTTTCGATGCTTGCACTGCAGATCGTCCCTCTCATTGGAACAAGTTATGCCCACCACCTGGGTTTTACCCAAACCAGCTATAAACCATCTTTTGCAGACTGGTGCTTATGAGGACTCAATCTACACAAAAATGTGTATGGTCACATTGAACAGCTTTGGCTTTCAAACAGCTATGCTATTTATTGTGTTGCATTACCTGCTGTTGCCCTTTTTTAAAAAAAGCTCTTCAGAGCTCCCTGCCAGAAAATATAAATAATATCTCATTTTGCATCAGCTTTTGCATATAGGAACTACCATAGAATCATAGAACATTTTAGGTTGGAAGGGACTTTTAAAGGTCATCCAGTCCCAACCTCCCTGCAATGAGCAGGGACATCTTCAACTAGATCAGGTTGCCCATCCAGCCTGACCTTGAATGTTTCCAGGGATGGGACATCTACCACTCCTCTGGGCAACCTGTGCCAGTGTTTCACCACTTATGTGAGCATAAGCTTTGTGTTAGCTGAATGTAAGCCTAACAGCCTGGGGTAATTCCTCCAGCATATTCTGCTAAGCTCTTTGCTGCAGTATGTGTTAAACCTAGGTTGCTTTCCAAAGTTAGGGAGTCAACCAGGAGAGAAAGTTTGTTTCCTAATCCTTACTATTTCTTCCCACCTCTTAAACCAAACTGCAGTAGACGTAACAAAATCATGGCTTACCTGCCATGCCACCTCTGTTGGCATCAAAAGGATTAAAAGATATTTTGATCAAGAACACAAAGATTGTTCTCTGTTTTTGTAGTGTGGTTGGTGTGGTGGAGAAAGTGCCTCTGGGAGGGGCCGTGTATGAAATCTCCACGGTCAAGAGGGACGTATGGAATCAGGGCATTATCCTAAGTTTTAATGAAAGCCTGCAGTGCTTGTGCAAGGAGATCCCTCAATGGTTTTCACGGTGCCCTGGTGCGTAAACCACAAGTAACAATCACAGGCAGTATGTCAAGCTGATTTGGAGGTGGTTATGTCCCATCTTGGCCTTTTAGAAATGTGTGACTACAATCTCATACTTCCTTTAAGGATGATTCAGGTCACCTTTGTTAGAGGGAAATGATCTTGGAGTGACCTATGTGGAGTGGAGGAGTGTAAAGGATGCAGTGATTCCAGCATAGGCCCTGTGTAGCAGCAAATTAATGGACAGCAATTTCTGCTTTGTCCTTTCATGTCACACACTAGCAAAGGCTTTTCCTCTGAAAACAGTAGTATAACCAACCAAAAAAAAAAAAAAATTTCTACCAGAGCAGCTGAAGATTGGAGTGCAGGAAAACTCAGCAAAGCATTGGAGCTTGGATCTGCCAAGGATGCAAGCAGGACAGTAAGGAAA